ATCCTAAAAATGCAACTAATTGAATTCTTAACCATATAGATTTATAGGTTCTACAGTAAAATGGCAAACTTCTTGTAAGTATAGAACATATTTTCCATGACTCAATATACTTAATTCAATTTCTGTTTGTAAGTTTACCTACAAAGAGGTAAAATGCCAGTGCCTGTAAGTGTCTGATGTACATTTTTCTGTATGTGGGGAGAGAACCAATGATCCCTCATTTTCCCACTGAGACCCAGAACTGAACAGTCAACAGACCAAAGTAGATCTCTGTAATTCAAACGTCACACTGCATTTCCAACTGGCAGTGTTCTGTGAGTTTCATTTTGCTTGCCAAGAAGACAATGAAACATTTATTCTGAAGTCAGAGGAACTGTGGGAAAAGACTGAGAAATTTGTATTTCCCTGAATTTCTAATTTGCAAAGGAGGATGAGGGCACTGAGGGACCACATGTTACTACTGTTGCAATGACGGCTGATCATGCAACTAACTACATTTTGGCCATGGCAGTGTATTTATGCAAAAATGGACTCATCTGATTATAAAATGGTATCAGATCACCAGGAAATCATTGAATTAAAGAATTTAAGATACATCAAAATTTAAAAGTAAATTCGACAAGAATGTCTATGGGGCTCCCTCCCCACAGAATCCCTAGTACCCCACTGTCGGAGGGGGTGAGCTAACTGCCCAACATCCAGCCTCCGGGTGTGGGAGAGACAAACAGATAGGCGGCAGGGGTTCCATCCGAGTAGTTCTGGTTTATTTGGGAAATGCACACTCTTATATGGAACAGCGAACAGCCTCAGGCCAGGAATTCCAGGAGAGAAGGAGAACTAGGAGCCGACTGTCATCAGCAGGACTGTGAAAGTCACCTCCCATAGGCCAGGGGTAGGTGAGCATGCAGTGTTCTCAAGCACGGAAATGGCCCCTGGCCAATCAGTCTTTCTTTAAAGCAACCTGATCCCCACCCTGGTTCATGTCCAGGGCTCTTCCATTGGTCGCCATCTTTTGACTTAGTGACTTTATTTGCTCTTCAGCTCTACAAATGTCACTGATGATATTTCTATCGACAGTTTATATATTAGTGATAAACAAAATCTCAGTCTTATAATTATCTCCTGGATAGATAATCCCAGTCATTTCTTCACATGATTATCCTATAGTTGGTGCCATCAATACCTGCATGTGTGCTCGCACACACACACACACACACATACGCAGCAAGTGCAGGCTTTCTCATTTACTGGATTACTCCCCAAATGCCCACAGGGCTACAACTGGGCTAGGGTCAAGCCAGGAGCCAGGGATTCAATCCAGATCTGCCTCATGGATGCCAGGAATCCAATTATTTCAGTCATTATTAATTCCTCCAGGGGGTGCATTAGCAAGATGCTGGAGTAAGGGGCCAGAGATATAAATTAAATATTCTTATATGGGACATAGGCATCTTAAATGCTGTGCTATAGACCAATCTCAGAAAATTCCAACTTGTGAAGTGTTTGCAATACCAGGATTCAAAGGCCTCAGTGTTTCTGGCAACTGCATGCTAGATTCTGAGTGCTGACTGTCCCTAGCCCATTCCCACTAACTACATTTGGTATTAGGCCTGCTGCAACAGGAGGTCTGAGGCTAGGCAATCTGTTCTAAAGAAATGTTATGAGAGTTTCAGATCTAGTGAAGAGTAAAACACAGAATTTTTAAGTCATCTGAGATGGAACTATATCATACGCATTTAATATCCACATAACTGCTAAACATAAAACCATGTACATGGCCAATTTTACATATTATTAAGAACTTGGTGGGCACAAAGACTACTGGTAAAGTAGCAAAGGTCAGAACCATGTAACCATCACGGAATGAACAACTGAATTCAAGACAAGGAATGGCGCTGCTGTGTTATTCACTGCAGTTCTCTGGGGTACATTTACAGCTAGTTAGGAGCCAGGACTCGAACTCAGACGGCAGTTCCACCATCCTGAGTCACACTAGCTGTAGCTGGAAGTGAGCAGAGCCTCTGCTAAGCTGGCCGTTCAGCCTTGAGAGAGTTTCTATGAGTGAAGGCTGTTATGAGTTAATACACTGGAAAGGAGACAGTCCTCTTGGCCTAGAATAGTTTAGAATAGTTTAGAACCTTTTGACTCTTCTGTTCCTAAAAAGAAATTGTATAAATGTGAGTTCCCAAGTTGCCACTTCAGTAGCCCTGGAGACTGAAGAAGCACGCAGGATATTGGTTCTACATGTGAAGGATTTGGTGCAGTGCAATAGAAAATTTAGTTACTCCAGAAAACAGATGTGGTGAGTAAACTATAGCCCGCAGACGGGTATCCATTCTGGGGGCTGAGGACAGAATCCTTTCTTTGGCTCCAGTCTCTAGACCTACCAGGTTGATAACCTTGTTGTTCTGTATCATGTCTCAGGCCATGTCTTCAATTCAGTTCCATTCACATTTAACTTTACTCTCTAATTCTCATTGTCCCTACCTGTGTCTGATTCAGTTCCTTTCAATTTACTGGCTTCTTTGGATTTTCCCAGGGTATCCATCCCTATGTGTACTAAACAGCAACTAGCCATTGAAACAAGTCAAGGGAGACATTACAGATCAATGAACGGAGTGAAGGCTTTGTAGGGGAGAGGGAATCCACACAGAATCTTGCAAGGTAACTAAGTGAGCTCACAGGGCACGGAAGACTTACTGGAGTGTATGCCTTTCAAGAAAGAGAAATGAGAATGCTTTCATGGGGAAACAAGAGCATGCATAACCCATGGAAAAGTGTGATACCCTGGTTGTAACAGTTCCTCTTTTATTGCCTCTTTTAGCATTTTAGAGATTTTTGGTAAGGGATTCTATTCAGGCTCTAAAATATAAATGCTGTTCTGTAACATCTCTTGCACATAGAGCATTCTGTCACTTGTTAAGAGAGAAAATTTTTCTAGCTTAGTTTTAGGGAGTTAATTCTTCTAGATGAATTTAACAGCATGGAAGAATTGAATTGATACAGTACATGAGGTATTTTATACCTAGCTCATGTATAAACAATGTCATAATGAGGCAGCTGAAAAGAAATGAATAGGAAAGGCTGCTTAACTCACTTAACATTTAAGTAATGAAAAAATTTATCTGTAAAAAAGATGACATTGGGAGCCATCATTGTGGCGCAGCAAGGTAAGCCACCACCTGTGACACCAGGCATCCCATAATGGTGTCAGCTGGAGTCCTGGCTGTTTTAGTTGTGCTCCAGTTCCCTGATAATGGTCTTGGGAAAGCAGTGGAAGATGGCCCAAGTGCTCGAGCCACTGCCTTTCCACATGGGACACCTGGAAAAGTAACTGGCTCCTGGTTAAAGCCAGGTCTAGCCCCAGTCATTGTGGCTGTTCAGAGAGCAAACCAGCTGATAAAAAAATTTCTCTCTCTCTCTCTCTTCTTCCTTTCTTCCCATTGTAATTTTGTTTTTCAAATAAACAAATATATATATATTTTAAAGATGATGCTGGTGAGGAAAGGCTCCCACTTTAATCTTCATCTCTCCTTGGTGCTATCAACCTTTCAGTCTGTAATCACCATAACACATAATAATGTGTCTTATTTTTGAAAAAAAAAATGGGAAGGGAACACAAGCATTGTGGTGCAGTGGATTAAGCTGCCACCGGCAAGGTCCACATCCCAGAGCAGAGTGCCTGGCTCAAGTCCCAGCTTTTCCTTTTCTTTTTTTTTTTAAAGATTTATTTTTATTATTTTTTCATTGGAAAGGCGGATATACAGAGAGGAGAGACAGAGAGGAAGATCTTCCATCCGATGATTCACTCCCCAAGTGAGCGCAACGGGCCGATACTGTGCCGATCCGAAGCCAGGAGCCTCTTCCGGGTCTCCCACGCGGGTGCAGGTTCCCAAAGCTTTGGGCCGTCCTCGACTGCTTTCCCAGGCCACAAGCAGGGAGCTGGAAGGGAAGCGGGGCTGCCGGGATTAGAACCGGCGCCCATATGGGATCCCGGGCGTGCAAGGCGAGGACTTAACCACTTGCGCCACCGCGCCGGGCCCAGCTTTTCCTTTTCTGATCCTCCTTCTGCTAGTGCTGCCTAGCATCCAGTGGATGGAGACTCGGACACTCAGGTGGGAGACATGGATAGTGATCTGGGCTCCTGCCTCCAGGGCGCTCCATCTCGGCTGCCAAGGGCCTTCTGTTGGTGAACCAGAGGATAGAAAAGCATGCACACGGTCTCTGTACCTTTCAAGTATATAAAAATAAAAGCCACCTCCCGGGGACAGTGTGTGCCTGTGCAGGTCTGTGTACACTGCCTAGGCTGGATCAAGCTTAGACGTTAAGCTCAGTGTAGGGCCAGTGAAGCTGCTGAAGGTGCTTCTGCCTCTGTTGGTCGGCAGGTTCCTTGTGTCAACGTAAGCCAAATACCACTTGCACAAACCTGAGCTCCATTTTCAACATCATTATCTCTGGTTTTGGCAACTAATGCTGGCATCATAATACTGCTTTAGACATTTGGATGTGGTCATTATATAGATCATGCATGTAAATACTGTTATAGTCAAAGACATATGCAGTTAGTGTTTGGAAAAACTAAGAGCTCTATACGCCGCCGCCCCCCCCAATGCTTTTATTAAAAGACACTGGATTCTAGGATAATGTAAATCTTCACATATATTGCCATTATGTAAACATTATAGACCCTGATGATAGATATGTATTTTTCCTCTTTCATTTGATTCACAAAGCTTTGAAAGTGTTAGGGGTTAAAAACATCCAAGGAGAAACATTAGGAAGTGAGTCCAAGTTGCAGAAGCCATGCCTAAAACATGTGCTATGTTTTGAAATTAAATAGTGTTTTTCAAATTATTGCTTTGAAATTATTATTCAACACAAAATATGTGTTCTATAGAAGTGCTTCAGAAAACCCAGATAGTTCATAAAACACACAGATATTTTTAACTTCACACGCGAAGATGGTACAGATAAGCATTATTTTCTACCAAAAGACAAACCTTCACGAAACAGTTGTTATTGTTATTGCAGTTGCCAGACACTCCTTGCAATTCAGCCACAGTGTTCTAAAATGTTGACAAAAAAAAAAAAATTAAAGGTGGCTTTGTACGCTCCACAAAAGGGGGATAATGATGAGGATAGAGAATGCTATGACCACAACACCACCATCAAGTGTGAAGATATTATGGCTTTTTCTAGGTACAAATGCCCCACTCTGGATTTCTACTAAAACACAAAAAGCAAAATCTACTCTGATGATTGAATGAGCATCATTAAAAGCTTACCATAATACTTGCAAACTATGTTCACACAGTATGAACTGCTTCAATGGTAAAACATCTTGAGTCAATGTCGGTGCTATCCTTCTAATCTTTTTCATATACAAAGTACATTTTGTAAGCTACTTAATACTTTATGCAAACCACAGCTTCTGTTATAGCTTTGGCTCCAATTATTATACATGCTCATGCTGACAGTGACTCTTGTCAGTGTTCAGTACTTTCAAAGATTCCAAAAAAACAATTCTATCAGATTGTTAGAATGCTATTAATACCCAGTAATGAAAATAAGTTATTTCAGGAAGATTAAATTGTATTTTCAAAGAAGTAGTTTCGGTTTCCAGAACAGTGATGAACCTTGCTATGAACTGTGCACCCCAAAGTGTAAATATCACCTGTATTCTAAGAATTGCAATAATAATCATGTTTTAATAGGATACTTAAGGAAAGCAAAAAATCATAACTGCAGAAGTTCATTTCCATAACATATCTAAATGGGGACAGTACCATTTTACACTGTATCTACAGTTTGAGCACACATGGTTTCTAATTGCATAATACCTACCCTAGAATGGAAAAGAATCACAAACCAGCTATTCAAAATGGACAGCAAGATCTCATCATCTTGCTATAATAGGCTAAACACTGACCACTGCAAAGTAATACAGATTAGATGCTATTAAAAATTCTAGTTGGAAAGTTTACCATACTCCCAGGATTTCATGGGAAATGACTGACTGCCTGGGAGGTTTGTGAAATCCTCCATAGTGAACTCTCAGCTTCTTAGAGAGAAAAGAACAAGAAAAGGAAATGGACAAGAACTCTGGTAAGTCCAGAAATGCAATCACTAGTTATAGGTATATCTGGATGTGAATTAAAAATTCTTCCAATTGCTTACATTTTCATGTCCTTGCTGTCTCAACAAAATCCTCCATTTTACCCTTCAGACTTTAAGCAGAGCCATTTTAACTTCACTTTAAAAATCAATGTTTAAAAGAGTGAACAAAAACAGGAATGCAAATTAAAATGGAATTGGCTGTTTGTTGACTTTAAGCTCTTCCAGCTTAAACATTTAGAGGATAAAAAAGTAAAAGCAGAAATTTAAGTAAGACTTAAAGATTATCTAAGTATTTCAAATTCTTTGAGAATATGACTTGAAATTTCCCCATTTCCTGGATCATTAAAACAGAACTAACTAAGTGCAAGCTGTGCGTGACCAACCATAATTCCTAAATACAGGTGGGATCAAAAGCCACTGTGCATTCACAGTTTCAGGATGCATAACTCGCATGGCACTGGATGCCACACAGCCAATCCGAGCAAACAACTCTCTGTGTCAACATGACAAGCTCCATGTTCATGAGCACCTTGAGTGATCTGATCAAACACAGAAGCCAGCAGATGATGCCAATGGAAGGGCAGGCTCTGGAATCAGCTGGAAGAACTTGGCTCCTGTATCTACTAAGAGATTTTCCTGGCTGATTTAAGGAATGTCACGGGATGACACATAAAGGGGGATGGAGGGTGGGGAATTCTAACTTTGAAATCATAAGATAATTCTATAAATTAGAAGCAGAGTGAAAAGCAATGTGATTGATTATGCACATGCAGGGCCTGTTTTAACAAAGATAGGCAAGTCAATAGACTGTTCAATTACATATGAAATTAACTCAATTATTCAAGGACCATTTATCCATCGACTATCCAATATTGGTTCTTCTCATTTCCTCTGTGCCTCTTGCAAATTTTACTTTTCATTTACAGAGAGAAAGATAGTAAACAGAAAAATAGGGAGATAACAGTCCAATCAATCAATTTAATAATATTTGTTGGCACTATTTAAAAAAAAAAGAATTATTTGAATCAAGTGATACTTTGATAATAATAATAATAATAATAATAATAATAATAAATCACTGGAATGACTTTCCATTGCAGAGCTCTTGTCTCTTTTACGCACAAAGTGTTACTGGCTGGTCTTTCCTGGGTATGCTTTGATGAAGCAGTGTATGACACATGAGACAGGGAGGAAATATAAACCAAAGAGGCACATGAGAGAGAGAGGTGAGGAAAATGGTCCCAAAACTTTTCACTAAGGAAGGTTACTTACAGTAATGCAGTAGAAAGCATCTGACTTCTATTTCCACAACTTGGAAGGAAAAAAAAATTCGCTTGACTCAAGGATAAGCCCTCTTTTATAGAATATTTTTAAGCTCAATTTCTCTTCCATACAGACATGATACTTACAGAATGCTGCCTATAGTGAAGTAAATTATTCATTTCCTTAATATTAGAAATACAGAAGAAATTTCATTTCATTAATGTTAGAAATATGGAAAAGAGTCACAGAACCGAAGTATTACAAGAGGCAATAACCCACCAAAGAATACCCCTAACATCTTTCATTGTGTAGGGTGTGTGTGTGTCTGTGTGTGTGTGTGTTTGTGTGTGTGTGTGTGTGTGTGTGTGTGTGTGTGTGTGCGCACGTGCCTGAATACAGCCAGATCCATTAAAGTGCCAAGGTGCTGTGAAGTCTGGGCCCGAGACACAGGAAGATTCCATTCACATCCTCTCAACTCCTAGCTTGAGCACTAGACAGTAACTTGGTTTCTGAGTTTCCAAAGAGGAAAAAAGAAGGCTTCTTCCTGTTGTTTCCACAATTAAGTGATAAATGAAGTCATGGAGAAAGGGCACCTTAGAAAGTACCTGTTACTGAATATTTACTTATTCTTACCCTTGACAATACTTGTTCAGATGACAATGAACTCTACTGTCATTACTAAAAGAGATGCTTCTCCCACTCCCCTCCAACAAAGCAATCTTTCACTGGGTGTTTGATGTTTCTAAGTATAAATGTGAATAACAATTTCTTACCATTTACTTAGTTTATAAAAGTATAGGAAAATCACTTGTGCACACACGTGTGTGTATATTAAGTTTGCATGCACATATTTCTTTTTTTTCCCACAAAGCATTGATGGATTGAATTGAAAACTTTTGGGGATGAAGACAATAAATTCAACGAAATAACTGGAGGAAGCTCGTGATATATGATGGAACATTTTCAGTTGGGAATCCTTAAGGACTGGATTGTCTTGTTCTCTCTTGTTTCATGATCATGGAATGCTGGAGGCTGGGAGGGATTCAGAGGTCAGCCAGCCCCTGTGCTTGAAAGCCAAGGACATTGAAGAACAGAGACCAGGAGACCTTGGCCTCCTTTCTCCCACCCTATGGGTGTCAACGCTCCCCGGCGATTCAGAGCCGAACTCTTTCCAGCAGGGTGAAGAGGTGAAAACCGAACCTACAGCGAATGACTCTACAATCCTAAACCAGGAGGCAAGTTCAAATATTGGAAGAAACGGTCTTTAAGTTTCAAAATCTAAGATAAAAACCTTTCATAAGCAGTGTCTTAGTGCAATGAGAAAATACTCACCATTTCAATGGGACTATGCAAGTAAAACACCAACTAAAGTAAGGAGACAAATTCATTCATTTAAAAAGCTTTTTAAAGTTGTTTGTCTTTGGTCAAAAGTTAAGTGCTACATCACTTCTAATTTTCTGCTGTAATAAAAGCAGAATACATCCTCACTACAATACAAACACATAAAAGCTATTCATGTTTTTGAGTTCAAACTTTCTAGGCTAAAAAACATAAAAAATAGGAATACTCATTTATTAATTTTATCCATGTTACAGCTAAAAGACAAACATAAGTTCTGGAAAAATAATAGATTAGGAGTTGAACAATGATTCACTGTGTTTATATCAACCAGTGTAAAGAAAAATATTTGCTTTCCCTAGATATTTACTAGTTTATGGAATATGAAATACTACAACTAAACTGTTGCTCTTGACATGCCAATATGAAACATGTGCGTGTTTAAATGTGTTTATAATAAAGTGTGTTGTCCCATGATATCAATGCACATTTGGCACTGACATTAGAAATAGACCAGCATCTGCATCGCATTATAACACACAAGGGGTCCAGAGAGCCGGTTTCACTTGGGGTTAGCTTCTATTCATTTACTTCATCTTTTACAGAGAGCAGGATGTAAAATTATTCCAATATGTATCCACTCTATAGAACATGTGATGGTGGGAAAGCTTTGTTCTGCATTATGTTACCACAGATCACAGCTAACAGATCCAAGGAACTTTCTCTCCCTAGGGGGCGGGAAAAAAAAAAACACCTCTGGAAACACTCAGTTAAGCTTTAGTACCTTTCTGTGTATGTCTGTACATGTGGGGGTGTTTTTCCACTTAAAATGTTTACTGATTTTAAAATTACATACTCTTGTACCGTTGAGAAAATACAAAGCACAGTGAGAAAAATCACCTTATTCCAACACTAAAGACAACCATTAATTCATCAGCTGGCATTTCTGCCCTTTTCTGTTTCTGTGAATTTCTTTCTAAAAGTGCCACCATTACAAGACAAGGAGGATTGGTTTCCAGTCTCCAGACAGGACACTAGGAGTTCAATCTTAAGTTACTATCAGATGCAAGTAGTATTTCTTATCCACAAGGTTCAATTCAAGTTCAGTGTAGATACATAATCGTTAAGGAACTGCAAGGAACCTGCCAGGTTGTATCAGGTGCTCCCTACCTCGTCATCGTCAGCGTCGTACTGGGCGTAGTGCTGCTCCAGCAGCTCTCTCTGGCGCCTCTCCTGCTCCAGCGTCTGGCTGATGAGCTGGGCAACCTCACTGACTTGTCCTGGTTTTTCCCGTCCAATAACAAACCTGTAGACAGGTTAAATTAGATGAACAGTTTAAGGCTTTCCAGTAGCGCAGAGTACTAAAGAAAGATGTGTAGACCTTCACAGGGACCTACAGAGACCCAAAAATGCCTGTGACTTGGGTATCCCTGGCTTCTGATGCAGCTTCTGGCTACTGCACCTGAGAAGGTAACAGGTGAAGACCTGTGGACGCGGGGCCTGCCATCCACAAGGCAGATCTGGGTGGGGTTGCAGGCTCCTGGCTTCTACTCAGCCATTTGGACAATCCAATCAGTGGGTGGAAGAGTTCTCTTTCTTCTTTTGTCTCTGTGTGTATCCTTCTTTCTCTGTCAATCCACCTTTCAAAAAACATATGTTCTGTTCTAAAAATGAGTAGAATCACCTATGTATGTCAACTGGTGTGTGGGTACAAGGAAAAATTAGCTGAACAAGTAAAGTTAAGCTTACAGACACTGCTCATGGGTAAAAAGAAAGGGAAAAATAATAGAGCGCCAAAAATAATGAATGCTTTGGAACAAGCCTTAATAGATGCAATCCATTCTACAGCATGCGACAGGGTTTACAAAACGGAAGTAAACTCTCAACTTCTGCAGTTAGTGATGTCGCTGTGGTAATGTCCTCTACCAGAGAACTGGGGGTGAAGCACGACACAGGAGGTTGGATACACAGAGGGATCCTGCCCTTTAAGTCACTGCCACCTTGGAGATGGGAGAAAGGAGACAGAGGTGGTATTTCTGCTTTTCAAATGAAAAGCTAGCAAAACAGGAGATTATGGGTTAATTCTCTCTTGATAAAAAGGATAGTAAGGGAGTCTGGAGACATAGAAAGGAAAAATGAGAGATATCTGTCTGTTGAGGGATATTGAAAGGGAAGGCTAAAGAAAAAGATTCTGATTTAGTGAGAGCTACACCACTTAAGATACCTCTGGTCTATAAAATACGGTTTGCTCAATAGATTAATATTCACTTTTTAACATCTCTTCCTTTTCACACTAATCATGTGGTTTTATTTTCTAATACAATAGTTTGTCTCTAGGGGAAGTTCTCTAAATACACACCCCTGTTCTTAGTGGGATCTTGGTGTAATGCTGCTTCTACCCTTGACACTTCCCTCCAATTACCATAATGTTGCTACATCTGGTAAACATCAAACTAATTACTTCATTAATTCATCATTTTCTGCCCAAATCACATTAAAGGTCAAAATCCTTATGCCTAGATGTTAGTAATTAATTGCCATTTTAGAAATCTTTTTGCTAACATTTCTGGCAGGACTTAACTTTAACATTAAAGTTTAGAGGCTTGCTCATTCTTCTGAATTATGTTTCTTTGGAGTTCAACGATTCAAAAAAATCATTGAGGACATGATTTATCTTACTTGTTCAGGCAAAACTTGAGGCATAATACAACAAATCTATTTTAAATGTACAGCTTAGTAAATGTGACAAATCCACAGCACCAAAGAGGAGATGGGCATTTCCATCCACCCCAAGCGTGTCTTCACATCCGGTCCAGGGTACCAGGTGTGGGCTTAGACAATGTTCAGTAAGTTCACTGCTGGTTTGATCTGGATGATGTGCTAGCTAGGTAAGAATAAGGGAGCAGGACTTACTGTACACACTGTTCCAATGACCTCTTAATGGATCATGGTCTAGAAAACAGAGCAAGGGTTTATTTCATTCTTTTTTCAGTCAGCCACTATAAATTACTATAAAATGTTACAGTCTGAAAACTGTCATTTCAATTGCTACTGACGTACAGATGCATTATTCACATGATTAAAATGAATTTTAAAAACCCTGAAAGATATAATGAGAAAGTCATTAAAGACAAGTCTCCCTAATTTTGTGACCGTAGCAGCGGACGTTTCTGCAGAACTGTGATTCATCCCTTAAACATTACCTCCAGCTGAATTTATTATCTATATGGTAGAATAAGCCTGCTAAACAGAAAATAAAATATATATATATATATTTTTTTTAATTATGTTCCGTTTTGATTCACTAGTGCATGACGTTGATGTCTTTCTTTTATTTTTCTGAATGAAAATGTAAAGTTAGGGCAGGAATAGTACAGAGGATGACTGCCCCTCACATCCCACACCAGAGTGCTAGTTGTGACCTGGCTGCTGTTTCCAATAGAGCTACCTCCTGGCATGCCTGGGAAGCAGCAGGTGACAGCCCAATGCCCTGAGTCCCTTCTGTCTATGCTGGAGTCCCCCATGAAATTCCTGTACCTCGGTTTCAGGTTGGCCCAATCCTGGAGGTTGTAGCCATTTTGGCATTAACCAGCAGATGCAAGATCCCTTTGTATGTCTCTTACTCTTTTTTTTATCACTCTACTTTTGTAATAGAGATATTAAAAAAAAGAAGAAGAAGAAAGAAAAAGAAAAGCAAGTCACCCTTAGTGACTAGGTGACGGGGTGCAGCTGATTAATCAACAGCTGAGCTACTGGCACCCCGGATGACAGTGCTGATTGTAGCACCTGCTGCCCTGCTTCCAGCATACCTTCCTGCTAACGTTCCTGGAAAGGCAGCAGATGACACTTGTGTCCCTGAGCCCGTGTCACCCGCGTGCGACACCTGGACAGAGTCCCTGGCTCTTGGCGCCAGCACGGCCCAGGTGGTGGTCATTTGTGCAGTGAAGCACTGAGTCCAACATACGCCTCCTGCTCTTGTTTATCTGCCTAACACGTAGAGATCTTTTAAAAGTTTATTTGGATGCCAAATTTTAATATTCCTTATAATTTAGGAAGTACTAGAAAATGCTCTAATATGTGTATGTACTGGGAAATGACAACCCGCGTAAACATATTTATCACCTTAAATATTTCTTTATGATAAAAAAATTGAAAATCCTTCCTTTTAGCTTCTTCACATTTTCTTTAGAGTATAAAGCACACTGTCAGAATTTGCAGTCCATGTAGCCTAGCACCTGTTAAACCGCATCCTCTCACACTGTTCTACACCTGTGGGAACCAGCATCCTAGTCTTCACTTGTATGAGATCATCTCTTTCAGACTTCACAAATGAGTGAAACCACGGCATACGGATCTGTGCTTGGCGTATTTCGTTTAGGTTCGACAAGATTTCATCCTTTCTAAGGCTGTGTTTTTTAGGTATTCCACTGTGTGTAGGTAGCACATTTCCTTCATCCCTTCAGCAAGTCATGCATGCTTTCTGTCCCCTGGCACTGACACCTGTGCTGTGACCCACTTGGGAGTGCAGCTGACTCTTGGACACTCTGATCTCACTGTCCCCAGACACATGCCCAAGGGTGGGATTGCTGGATCATACGGCGCTTTGGATTTTATTTTTCTGAAGAACTTTCATATGATTTTCCACAACATACATATTAATTTACATTTCCACCAACAGTGTGTTTTATAAGCCATAAAAATAAGGTAATAGAAGTCAAATTCTAATGAATAAATTTAAAATGGAGTATTTTCTTGAATTTATGATTGACAAACAATATTATCAGTACAACTAACATCTACAATTAAGATTTATGATTTTATTAAGATTTTTCCCCTAGTGTCTTTTATTTTTTAAAAAAATCACCTTTTAAAATGTGTTATTCTGCTAAAAGGTGCCCATTCCTGCCCTCATGCTGAGGTGGAAGGAGCAAAGGCAGAAAAGTCAGTTATTCCTCTTCTCTTCACAGACCAAAGTCCATGAACCGTCCTTTGGAATACACAAGTCTGGGTAACAGGAAATCCATTTAAGCTTTCTAACTCAGGTTATCTGTCTAACAAAAAGGAAACAATTATGTAATTATTTTAGCAGTTTGACAAATTGAAGTCATAAGCCCGAAATAAGTTGCACTACTGAAAGTGAAATCCTAGTCAGAAATTATACTGATAATGAAATCTAAAAATTCTCAGTGTGTTATTAAAGTAGTGTAAGAAGGAAAAGCTACAGTAGGATGTAGGTATTACTTCTGATATAACTACGTGTTTCATTCAAATGCTCCCTAGAAATATTTACTATATGCATACTCAAAACCTGCATATCCTTTAAAAATATAAAGAGAAACAGATGACCAGAACTTACACTGGACTCTTCCAGTACTGCTGTGGTGAACTTGTCACGGAGCACTGTGCTTCTGAAGATTTTTGCAATCTAATTTTTTCTGTTCCACTGCATCATATGTATGGTTCCCCAAATTTGATGTAGTTTTTAAATGGTTAGCTTGTAAGCGATGGTAAATGCATCTCTAGTCACCTTAGCTCAGCTTGCTGATCAAAGTCTCAGAAAACTACGCTTTCGGCCCATGTAATCGCACACTCGAAAACATTCTGCCCTTTCACACCGGGACTTGTATTAACATACAGCACTATATAACCAACATTAATTTGTAATTTCATCTATGAAAATGTTCTCTCCTGACAACTAGTCCTGAGAAATTTAAACTTTATTTTATGCGTCAATTCTTTGAAATGAATCGTGCGTCTAAGCCAAGACTAACTATATTATTTTTCTACACTATATTTCAGTGTTAAAAATAGCTAAATTCTTTCTAAAAATTATCTAACACATTTAAAAGATGTTTTTCAAAAGTGTAATATCCTTTCCAGAAATAACATTCCTAATTAACAGTCAGTTTTGATAACTCAGTTTAAATATTTATGCATTTCAATATTTAAAAGTATTCTGTAAAATGTTAATCTTTGTAGAGTGACACCTTAAGATTCCCCATGAATTCAGTGTTCTCTTCGATAACATTAAATCTCTACAGTTGTTGTCCATTTTTATATTAGATGGAAAAGCTGTCTACAAATTACCAGGTGCACAGTGGTGTCTCCTATTGGCGGGAAGGAGGGAACCTTAGCAGCAAACATAAAGTCCGAAGGACAACTGATTTCCATAAACCCAGGGACACAGCACACACTCTAACCCACACATCACATCTGCAAGGGTTCGAAAAAGGATGAAACTGTTAGTGTGTTATAGCAGCAGGTTTTCCTAGTGAGGCATCCCTTTAGCAAGGCTCTGTTGCTTCA